TGACTTATTCTATCCAAAACCTGTTTAATTTCCCTCCCAAAATTTGTCTCCGGATCCTCCCCTGATTAAACTTAATAACAGACCTAAATACTTTCAAATCCTAATATAATATTATCCCTATTCAACTTGTTCTAACCTGCTTTTGGAATCCTTTTTGAGACTAAAGTTTCCAAGTTCCTCAGATTAAATCAAGCTCATCGTTAGAACGTTACAATACGACCACAATCCCACATCACATACCATTAGTAGGTTTTCAACATCACCTTTTCTTTCATCGAAACGGCTCGGAACACCATAGCAGCTGTGCTGTGACATTTCAAGCTCTCCTAATTGAGTTACGAAAAGTAGCTGTATAAGTCATTAACCCCAGTAATTTTACATGACACATTTTCATTCTATTCGTCATTAATTGTTTTCGACTCCCTTGCAGTGCTACTGTTAAGCGGTCTCTGCAATCTTAACGTATGCCACTTTGCCTTGGTTCCCAGAACTATCCAAAAAATGTAATAAATCCAATATCGGAATTTTAGTGACGTATATCATGCTAGCCTCTCAGACGCTCACTTCTCCAAAGCCCATTCGAGAAACGCATTGAGGTGTTAGCAAAACCCAATTGATCCTTTGAAGATAATTAGATAATAAATTAATTTGTAGATAATAAAAACCGATACTACTATTCTCAAGTTCCCTCCATAGTTTACGCTCATCCAGAAATCACATCTGGAGACTAAAAACATACCTTGATAAAGTCAATAAATGAAAGCATGAATAAATGAAAAGTTTCATCCTCCCTGTGACATCGAACAAAGTTCTTCATCCTCCAAACAACACATCACGGTTGAATACCAATAAGAAATGCACAATTTTGCTGACATTAACTTAAATAAAAGATGAAATGTATTCTCATACAGCCACACTATGTGAAGCTCATCGAGGCGGAGAAACCCTCACGCTTCATGACGCAGATTCCCAATTCAAATGCCGAATATCACCAGAAGCTGCTGAGACGCTGTTAAACCTTTTAACAGGACATTTTATACATTCTTTAACTTTTTTCAAACTGGAAGTAAGCGAAAGTAACAAACCGAAAAGCCTAAAAAGAAAATTATATATATCCTCGGTTGTACGATCCCAAATGTGCAAACTTATAAATTTATTCACAAAAATAAGAAATTTGTTTTTACTAGAAAATAAGAATTAACTCCCCCCACAAACGAATTCCGAAGGTTAGAAGTTGCATTAATTTTTTTTTAAATGTTTATGTTAATGCCCCCTTATTGCGCAACATTAGTCTCAGGATTGGCAAATATGAGCGCCAAGGTATAATTTTGATTGATATATTGGTGATTCGACGCGTCAATATTAACATCATTAGTCCCCGTGCTGTGCACCCCGACTCCGCATCAAATCCAAAATTCCCAAAGATAAATTTCGCCCCCCGTAAGCACATGATATAAACCAATTCAAAACATCTAACCTAAACATTAAAGCATGTAAATTTTAAATAAACAATAAAAATCCATCCCCAATCCCACAACACCTTAAAAAAAACAAAAAAAAAAAACGAGCAGTGATGTCAAGCTCAAAATGCCAAGGATGCCTATTCCTAACAATGAAAAATCTATTGTATCCAACCCCTTGAAAGGCCCACAGCCGAACAAGAGAAAATAAATGAAAAAAAAAAAATAGTCCCGTAAATGATGGAGGCGTGTTTTACATCGGGAGTGGCGCATGATCTTCCCCCGCCTGATGTGAAATCCGACGTTGACCTACCGTGGCTAGCGGCTCCCTAAACATTACCTCCTAGCAGCCGGAAAGCACCATCCCAGCTGGACAAATATCTAACCTCACGACCAATCTCCTCGCATGTGTTGCTAGGACTGCGTGTTAGTGTGTAAGTGGTGTGTTGTGTGTGTTGGTGTGTGGTTTAATTAAAGAAGTGAGGATAGACAAGCACGAGAAACAAAAAGATCGCACGCCGTTCGCCGGCCCGTTTTTAGGGTTACTGGCGCGCATTAGCCGAAGAAATCAAAACAGAAAACATACCGGAACAACTGCAGCCGGTAGAATTCATTCTCCAACAGCGACTGAATTCGACCCAATCTGAGAAGCTAGTGTCGAAATTCCTGCCACCGTCGGGAGTGGACCCAGACACCCCCCAGTCAGCGGCACAGCAGTGACACAGTGATATCGCTGAGCCTTCCTTCCAGAGCGTCATTCGCGTTTTGACTTTTGTCCAGTATTGGAGCATTTTGCCCCACGGTGGCTGCCACGGCGCGTCGCCGCGTCGCGACGCCTGGCTCTGCCACCCCGCGGCCCGAGGGCGCAACGCGGCCGCCGAGCCGTTATCGCGCTCCGTTGCAGCCAGCACGCCGGCGGCGCGGCGATCCCGCCTCCCCGCCCCGCCCGGCCCGGCCCGTCGCACCTCCCGCTCTCCGCCCGGGAAGAGCTAATCCGGCCGCGCCGCCTCCTGTTTCAAAAACTCGCCGCCAAGTTTAATATTTCCCAATCCGACGTAATGAAACCCGAGTCGGGGGGAACACCCGCTGCGGCCGCTCACCACTTTACGCGCCGGAAGCGTACGGCCGATGACGGGGCGAGGGGGATTGGGGGAGGGGTGAAGTGCGCGAGGCAGCGTGCCCGCGTCGGCCTCGCTCGCTCCGTCCCGCCTTCGCCCCTGCCACACGCCCCTTTCCAGCCGCCCCGCTTCGACGCGCCACTTCGCCCTGCCATCGCCCGCCGCCTCTGTTGCCGTCGCGGCGTTGCCACTCGTTCTGCTGGTTCGGCTGCTCTCTCATTTTGAGCTTTAGTTCTCTGTTTCGCGTTGTTCGTCCTTTCTTAATACTCAATTCTTTTTTATTTAAATGTACCTCTGCATTCTTGCCTTTCCAACCGCTCCGATCTTTGTATACCTCACTCTCTCTACCTCATTAAGTTCACTTATTTTTTCTCCGTAATTATGTTGACGGTTTTGCTCAGATTTTTGCCTTTATTGTCATGACAATTTCCCGCTTCATTTCCACGTCAATATAGTTTGTGTATTCCACCAGACTCTCCTCAATTTTTCACAATGGCGTTTATTTTTTCTTCCCGTTTCATGTACGTCTTATCTCCTCTTGATCGACCTCCCAATTGAACTTTTACGACAAACCTTACCCGTACGTTTCCACCTTATTTTACATTTTGTCTTTCATCCTACTTCATACCTACTCACCTTCCTCAATACCCCGTAATACCCCTCTTAGCTTCAGACCAGTTCATCACCCTCTGCTACATCTTTCTCTTCGTTCTGCTTCTCCTATTCTTCTTCCCCCAAAATTAGGTATTCTTCCTTCACCTCTTCACTTCATTTTTGCTCTTCTGGTATCCACATGACAAAACTGTTTCCTCTTGAACATCGGTTCGTTCTAATCACCACTCCTCCCCCTTTCCAGTACCGCCCTTCACTTCCATCTCCACCCGTCCTCCCAGTAAACACCTCCCACCCACTTTTCCGTTGTCCTTTCGTCGAATTGCTCTCCACCTCCCTTGTGGCCCGTTCGTACCTTTCCCAACCCCCTCGGTTCCTCCATCTCCTGCCGTAACTGCGGCGTGGCGCAGTGCGGGCGGCCTCGCCCCCTGCCGTAATCCCGGCCGCCGCCGCCGCCGCCGCCGCCTGGCGCGCGCACGCTCCGTTCTGATCCGTGGAGCGCGGCTGCGCGCCCCGCCTGCCGCCGCCAGCGCGCCCGTCCTGCTCCCCTGGTCTGCGCCTCGTTCTGTCACGTTTAATCCGAGATATCTCGCGGGTTTTCATCGTGACGTATCGTTCCGATCGCTATTCGCTGCCTTCTCTCCTGATTTTTCTTTCTCGTTCGCCAGCGTTTTTGTGTATTTCCGGTTTACTCTTTCGCCATGCTACTTATGTATATGGTGAGAGTTATGTAAAAATATAGTAAAAAACGGCGTGTTTTTGACAGAAAAATTAGTATAGTAGGTCCCTGAAACCGAAAACTATTGGTGCAAAAACAATATTTTAATATTGTACTTTAATATTGTACTATAATACTTTAATATAGCAATTTTTTAATGTTTGGAGCTCAACGAAAATGAGACCTGTTTCCATAAAATGGAGCCTGAACACTTTTCTTGCCGTCCTTAGTTCTCTCATCAGATTTTTTTAATTCGATCCGGGTTTTTTTTTGTTTTTTTTTTGTTTGTTTTTTTAGAAAATACGTGTAAATCATTTGCCTGTATTTCTCTAAAAATTACGCAAAAAACTAATTTGTGAATATTTGTACATGAGCTTATTTCAAGACCTGTCTTTGAAGCATAGATTTCATTGGGAGAAAAAAACACTGTCTTCGATATTGTAGATAAAGGAAGAAGTCAATTAGTTCTGAATTTTTACAATTCTCGAAAATTCATAGAGTTTAACGATAATGCAGGTTTAAGTGTCCTTTGTTCCATTCGAAGAAACATTTTAAGAAAGAAGTTTTAGGGCACTTTTGAGAAAAGTTTGAAAATGTTAAAGCTTCAGGGAAAGAATCCCCCAAAATCAAAACATCCGTTTCAAACTCACAGGACCTCGAGTTCGTCCAGATAGATTGGTAACTTTTGAAAAAAATCGCCAAAATGTATAGACGTTACCGTTGACCGCAGGCAGACGGACAAACAGAGGTTTGTCTTCAACCAATTTTTGGCATCAAGTATTAACAAAATGTGGATTTAAACAGCACAACTTGGTGCGTACAGTGGCGCGTTCATGTGGTCCTCAATGTGCGACCAAAAGAATATACTAAACTATAATTTAGTCATAACAATGTGAAGCATATTTCCTACTTGAATTTTTTATCGCGTGTTATTGCTTCTTCCAAAAAACGAGCGAAGTAAACAGTCGGTGTGATATATTTAAATGAAAACAAACTAAGTTTTCCAGGCGATAGAACACCAGAGTTACTGCAATAGTTACGAGGTAGAACCGACAAATTTGAATTTACCTTCCTTCTATACCGAAAAAAGTGATGTCTCTTGACCCATATAAACTTTACTTAAAACGTCAGGAAACAGGTATCAAACCTGATGTAAGAGAAGCTCTTGTCAATGAAGTACAGCAGCCTATCAGTTCCGTAAGAAGGCGGCTGATCTCTGAAGACCAGTTGACTCATGCCGACTGAAGTGCTACCTACAACGCCACGAGTGTCGCAAGTTCCCGATGTTGGGTTTGGATGGATCACTTCTCAACCAGCCATAAATAGTACGCGGAACTATTGTTGTGCGAGAATGGCGATCACTTCAACCAAAAAAAAACCTCTTCCACATGTTCGAGACCATTTCGGAGCCCAACACCATGACTAGATACTTTTTCTGTTGGAGTGCTGCATCATTTTGGAAATATAAATTAAGTGTATATATTTCTTTTTTCATATGTCTGTACTATTAAGATGTTCTTCAATGTTTTGTAATTTCACATTGCTTTGTTTTAAATCTTTGTCTACTTTCTGAATACAAGTACAAACTAGTTGGTATACATTTATAACCTTTCAAGAAAATGATTCATTTAAACTGAGAATAGGATTCTTCCATATAATTGAATTTAGAAATCGAATGATGTATTCTAAGAGATTATTATTAGAACATCCACTACTTTTATAAGTAATAACGGAAAAACATTTTTTTAAATAACTTCTCTTTTTAGTCTAGCCAATATGATAACAATTCTCTTCGTGAAGTACGACACGTTTCAATCAAATCTGAACCAAAATGTGATCAATGTGCTTCAGAACAAAAGTATGCTTGAATTAAATCGAGAATAACTTGTTCGGGGAAAAGTACCACACCTACAACTAGAACTTCGCGTTTTACAAACCGATACGTTCCTACTATCCAATATAGGAAAGATATCACATATTTTTTTAACATTTATCTAGAGAAAAAACAAACAAACTATAGACAAGTTAAACTAAAAATAACTTAAATGTTTGGTAATACATATTCATATGAAGGTGGGTTTTATGCTATTAAATTGATTACAAATGAGCACACGAGTCTTGGAGATTCATTCTAGCTGCATCTTTTGAGATTAGGAAAAACAGAACTGGAGTTGGACATTCGTTCATTGGCAGATGCAGCTGATCTAACAGTACTCGCACTACAATTATCTTTTTTTAAGTTGTGTTAATTTGAGTTTCTCTATGTCATTTTATTTTGCCACCGGTCAAATATTCTAAAAAAATGACATTGTCGAGTGCTCTTCTTGAAAATTCATTTGCTTTTGGTATAAAACATTTTGTCTTTTTTTTAAATTTTGGTCTTTAATTTGTAAGTGTATTGAGCAGTTAAAATGATTAAACCAGTTTCTGTAAAACGACGCATATTATTTCATACTAGTACCTCTTTTCTATTTGCAAAACATTACAAAAAATTATTCTAACAATAAAATGTGACCCGCAATCATACTAAAGGTTTTCAATGCGGCCCTCATCCCGTGTAAGTAAGAAGCTCTTCTTTCAGAGCTTGAAAATCCGCTCTAATAATTATAGATAAATAAATACGGTTGAGATAATTTTGAAGCATGACACGTTATGGTATGAAAAGCTAATCACGCAACAATCACATGATGAATATTCCCATATCCTTCTTGGGGGCGAGATATCACAAGAGAATTCGAGTCTGCGGTAGGTCTTATTGCCCGCATTTCACTCCACACGTCCCCGAGGCTCCTCCGGACCGAGCCCCCGGCATCTCGGATGGGCGTGTGAGTTCCCGGGGTTATCAGCGCCAGAGCGCTGCAGTTCTCCCATTAAAACAGAGGACGGATTGACGTTAGATCAGTCGGACGCGGTCATCCAATCGGGAGATCCAATTTCAGAAACCGAGTCGTAACGAAACTCTCGATTGGAGAGTCGCGTCCCAGCAGATCAAACGTGAATACGCCCTCTGTTTTAATCGGAGTGTACTTAAGCGTAGGCCGCACCGCGCGTTCGAGGACACCCTGTCTGACACCGTCGCCGTCATGAGTCGCCTGTCGCTGCTCGTCGTCGCCCTGCTGCTGGCAACAGCCGCGGCCTCCATCTCCCGAATGGCGGTGACTGAATGCCCACGTGAGTACAGGCGCGATTACGGGAAGGAGGTTTTCTTAGACAAGAGGACGTAAAAAGAGTTGCAGCAATTCAAATGACAGAAAGTGTATACGCATGACCAAATTTGCCTACATGCTAAATATGCAGTAACTAAATTCAAGCTCTACAACTAGAAAAAACAGAAAGTAATACAAAAAAACTTCATTAAAATTATTTTGTGTCTATAATATAATTGTTAACCAAATCTCCTTTATTAAAAGATTGTACATTCGTTAATTTGTTTATAGATAAGAAATACAAATGTATTAAAATAAAAATTTAGTATATGTTCCCCTCTATGTGAAATGTTTTAATATTCATTTACATTTGTACTAAAAGTTATTTTATTACTTGGTAATTTGCTTCTTTTTGGGAGGGAAGACCCAACACGATTTTGTGATAGGAGGTACCTAAATCCAGACCAATGAACAACCTCTGCAATACACACGATGTTACAGATGTTTACAAGAATATTGTTGCACAGAAACTATCATTCGATATAATATTCATTAAGCTAATTGAACTAATCAAATTTGTTACTAAATTGTTGAACCTGTACAATGATATATTACGCCTATTTGCTGATTTCTCGAATGGTCAACGCTTATGGTTTTCTTCGGTAAAAAGTATCATGCTGCATAGTGAATTTTCGATTGTTTTTCTTTCAGCTGTCATTTCAAAATTATGTAACTTCTGCAAATGCATAGAAAACATTTTGATGGCAATTATTATCTGAGTAAGTATTAGTGACTCTACAGTGAAAGTGCAAACATTTGCAGTACCCGAAATTAGTATAATCAAGTAGACATCCATTCTTACAGTCAGGATCTGCTATCATTTCCTGTCAGTCAAAACGAAAATACTTAATTATTTAAATAATGCACGACGTTTAACCTGAAAGCGACTGAATTCATAAATTTATGCAATGTGCATCATATTTATGCATTATCGTGATTTGTTGATGTGTTAGTATGCTGAAAACGTTTAAATATTTTTAGGTACATGTGAAGCAATATCATTCTTCATCTTTTTTAGTACTTCGTATATCCCATGCCCTTTATCCATTTCTACATGCATCGACGTTAATATTTCAAAAATGTCTCTACATTTACGAATTCGAAATTTCTTATTTGAGTCGATAGTCAACTTAATTCCTTGTAGTTTCTGGATTATTCACATAACATTATTTCAAAAAATCCAACTGAAAACTCACTCATGTTAGCTTAATTCAGAATTTCGGAAAAAAACATGCTTTAGTAGATTTATTCTTTGTCAAATTAACCAGAGTAATCTAGTAATGTTCTGTCAAAAGGACTTATGAGAAAGTTACTCACTAAGGTTACGTCATACAAGGGGTCATTTTCAATAACTTTTCTGGGGTGTAGAGGGAGTCTGTTCAATTTTTTTTAAATTTCCCAATAACCATGTGAATCATTTTCAATCTAGTTCCTCTTCACACCTTCTCTAGCATTAACAAGATCTACGTAAAAGCCATTGTAAAAAGAGCAAGTCTAACAATGATGTCGTTATTAATACATAGGCAAATGATGAGCTCCGAAGATCGCTATTTATTACAATGAGAGAAGTTTGAAAACTGTCTCGACGTATTACTTTTAAATTATGTTCGTTTTCTAAAGATGAATCAAATGAGGTGGAAAACTCTCTAAAACCCTTTTTGTGAAATCGCCAATAAAGACTTTATTTACTATCTTTAACAAAATTTATGATTTTGTTCGTGCTACATAATCAAGCAAGGAGACAGAAGTTAATTTTTAATTAACACAAATAGTAAGATTTCAATGCGTGAAAAGAAACTTTTGTTGCAATTATAACATTACATCTGTTATTCAGAAATCCTGTTATTCAGGTTTCAAAATGTTCGTCTTGAACTTTGAGTAGAATAGTGATTTTATACGTAACGTCAAATAAGAAAAATAAAGTTATTTTAGAAATCGACAAATTCAGTATGTTTTGGAAATAAGTCTACACAATACGTCGTAAGAAGTAAGCATACCGCATTTGAAGCGAATCGTGACTCCCAATAACAAATAACATTATGTAATGGCCTCATTGGACTCATATTAAACACGAGTAAGGAATAGATAGCTCCGTGTTGGAAGATAAGAAGGTCTGAAGACGAAATCGTGACATTCCCAGAGAAGCACAACATGACGTAATCCCCAGAGTAATCTCTGAGTTTTTATGGTAATTTATGGCTCGGAACAAGATGGGGCAAGCGCCCGGGACATCGCGATGGGACACCTCTCCGTGGCAGGGTTGCCAGATCCGCTCCGGGGAAGTCCGCCTTCCGAGGAATAAAATTCCGCCAGTACTTTAAACTTAATACTCCTGTGCAGTGTAGTCCTCCTTATCATAAACCATCAATACTTGTACAACTCTTGCAGAAAGGTGGGCTAAATTACATACATGATTAATTAAAAATAAAAAAAGTGGGTTCTGACATCTTTGCATAATAGCTGCACATTTGCAAGTGTTCAAATCTACAACTCTTGGGGGTGAGCATATTTTACTGAGGGCAATCAGTGTTTGTACAATTTTTTGGAAATAGTGGGTACTATTGATGATTCAAAGCAACACATTTTGCAGAATCCTCTCAGGAAACTCGAATGGAATTGAATTTAATTAATGCCTTATTTTACGTGGCGAGACTTCCCCTCCTTTGGCGAAATTCATCAAAATGCATTTTCTTCCCGCGAGTCGACGCCTTTTTCCGCCCAATATGGCATCCTTCCTTCAGAGCTGACGCAACGGAGGCTGTTTTCTTCCCGCGGTTCGATTCATTATTTTTGTAAACTGGAGATAAAGCAACCGCGGTCATGGTCACGGCTCTCGTGTTGCAGATCACCCTGGCCAGTGCCAGGACCCTTCCACAGGGGAATTCCACACCGCAGGCTCAGAATGGTATCACCAGGGAGAATGTCAAAAATTCACCTGCGCCTTCCCTGAGATCATCATTACAGGGTAAGTTGCCGCGTGCACGAATAAAGTACATTGCTATTCGTGATCAATAAATACGTAAATAGCTGAAACACTGCGATTACATCGTTCAAAATAAGCAATAGCAAATAAGTTAAGTTACAATAGAAAAGTACAACATATAGAAAACCTTAAAATATTTTTTCATGTGGTGCAGTAGTTTATTACTTATTCTCCATTACTAATAAATGATAGTGGGGGAAGGTTTACAATTTTTGTAATAATAAAATTACTATTCACTGTGAACATAAGGTTCAGATGGAAAGGAGATGCGTGTAATTTTGTAACCAAAAATTAATTTGTAGAATCTATTTTGGGCATTCCATTCAACCAAATTTCGTGATTTCGTGAACAAAAGGTAGTGGGCTCCAGAGCAATTATTAATCTATTTTTTAGTGTATACACAAAATTTTAATAAAATCATTACGTTATGTGTCTCTTATCTGCCGCCATTTGTTTATTACTGCATTGATTGAGTTGTGATCGATATATTAAAAGCATTCGGCATTTACTCGTCCAGCAATCTTCTGAGTGTAAGGTGGTTGTTGGAGAAGCTAAAGCGAGTTTTCTTCAGTTCGAAAAGTGTTTATAAACACACAGATTTGTGAGAAGGTAAACGAAATGCTAGCAATTATCAGACATACGAGTCCTTTTACACAAAAAAATCATTTGTTATAATTATGTGGCGGATTACCATTTTACCGTAAGGTGAACAGCACAACTTCTTTGTTACATTTCTCACCAGCATTCATATACATACCAGCAGTTATTTTTTTAATTTGTGCCTAATGATTTTAACACAAGATTTTCTTTAATACGTTTCTAATTATTTTCGTAATTCCTTAGAGCCTTATTTATTTATTTTCTGTGTACCTCAATGGGCACAATGCCTTTATGACTAGAATATTAGATTTAATCTCGTAAAAATAGTTTTGGATCATTTATTGATTATGCCCATAATTATATTTATAAAAGTGGAGTTTTAATACCGCCTCGACTACATAATCAGTTACACCAAACCGTAACCAAAATATAATCATTGTTATTTCACAATTTCTCCTCTTCAATGGCAGTCTCTGAAGTAAAACGTGCTTCGGGACCCTTTTGCGAGTTGACCGCAAGCCTCAGAAAACATCCGATCCCGGAAAACCATTTCCAGTGGCGCATGCTGAAATAACGGAAGTTTACGTCTTGCAACCACATAAAGCACAAAGCGCAACTTCCTTTTGCAAGCGTTTTAGAAGAGCTGAGAAAGTTATGATGAACGAAACTATAATATAAATATTAATCAATGAGCATGCGACACATTAATGGTTTACTTTTAAGAGTGGCTAGACATTCGATCATGGGTACACGCTCTGATGACGAAATAAAATTAGGAAAAAATGCATTTTTACTGTTTTAGAGAAGAAGTGAATATCAAAAAAAACTTTACAGATATTTTAATTACATTAGTAAAAAACAGTTGTGAAATAGTCACGAATGAAAGAGAACACGTGAAAGATTCATCAATATTAGGGCATCGAATTGAGAGCTCGCTGCCTCCCTCGGTGACTCATCTGGCCGCTTCGTGCCATATTCCTTTGCTGGGCGATAAGAACTCTAGTGAGTGCTGTTTTCGTTGGATTCTCGTCTGTTCCCAGCGGAAACAATATTTTATATTCGTGCGTGTCCCGTGCTTTTGCTGCTCGAAGGTTTGTTAGCAATGCAATGTGAAGGAAAATGAAGATATCATAGTTTAGCTGAAACAAAACGATTTGGTTCACTTACATTTAAAGAGAATATTTTTATGGGTTAAAAAATGATGTTTTCGATCGTGAAACGAATTTTTCTGAGAATTTATTTGATAATTTGGATATAAACAGTAATTTGGATGAGTTTTAAAAACATAAATGATTGTTTTTAATAGGTTTTAAACTTTTTAAGACAAAAATTAATAGTCGTAAAATGTTTGATGAAAATTTTGACTGCTTATTTAAGGAAATTTTCGAATGTCTAAATTAATATGCACAATACCAGCTCCAACAGCATCCACAGAAAGATTTTCTGCTTTAAAAAGAATACATAATTATAAAAGACAAAAACGAGAAGAGCAAATGCTCAGCTTGTTTTTTGTATAAATTGAGAAACAACTCTCAGAATCCATTAGAGGTAGAGGATTTCTACAACAGTTGTTCAAAAATTTTGCCACTACAACAAGACGGCTTGACTATGCGTAATTAGTAATGTAGGATAGTTCGGAATCTCTACACATATTTATCTCATAAATTCATGTATGTTAATATAAAGTTAACTTCCGAATGTCAGCTTCCAAACGTCATTCATTAATTCAGAAGATAATTTATATATATTTTTATGAATTTAAATCATTTTGAATTTAAATGCATGTGCATATCCAAAAGGTTGCACGGATGAGTAGCATTCTTTAACATTCCTTGATTTTTTTGCTTCGTCTGTATTTGAGAATTCAATAATACCTAGAAATGCACCGATTAGCTGATGTATTGCGGCAAGATGAGAGCAATCCAGCAGTAATCCCATACGCGGGCGACAGATACGCAACTTACAAATCTGTTCCTTTTTTTACACAGCGCCTCAACTCATTGGTGGGGAGATCAGATCGGGATTGTTTGGAACATCCATCCGATGCATGAATTGCTGCTTGCTGGTATCCGAATACGAAACTAATAATAAAATAACTATTACGTTTTAAATTTCGTGGATTAAATTAATTTCTCTTTTGTTGTTTTACCACGATTTCAAAAGTATTTCAATATTGCCTTAAAGTAGTTCAGGAGATTAAAAAAATTAAATATATCAGAAAAACTGTTTAATTTTGAGAATTTGATACACAAACGCCCTACGATATTGCGACATCCTCCCTTGCGTCAGAAAGATAGACTTGGATATTGATTGATTATTTTGGTTTCCGGGCGAGTCAACTGCAACGGTCATTAGTCCCGTAAGTGTAGTGTATCACGGGAGGTGACCGTATTCTTCCTGCACTGGGTGGGGAGATCCGGCGCCGTTCTACACAACGGCTTGCGGGATTGGGAAAATTTAGCGATGACCACACCAAAAAGTCACGCCTTACCACTGTCTTTTAACCTATTTTCTTCAAAACGTAATTCAAAATATATTTCCATCAAATAATATACGTCTATAAATTAAACTTCGAGTCTGACGTTACAAACTTCGGTTTCATTATAACGATAATGAATTCTACTTCGCACCGTAGTCCTTATTTCACAGAATCAATGTATTTACAGATTTCGCGATCCTCACTTTAACTCTTGATTATTCCAGAAAGCGCAGTTTTCATCCATGGTAGCAAGCGTCATAATGCTTTTGAGAATTTAACTTTGCATGTGTTCATTGATTGATGTTTCCGGACAGCGGTAAACGTCGACCTATCTATGCAGCTAGAATGGAAAATCCATTGCTGTCGGACTCGAATCTAGGTCTTCCTAGTCAGAATAGCTGCAGAGACAGTGCCAATGAGCTAAAGGCCAGAGACTTCAGCTCGAAGGTAGACGGTCATATTTGAAAATAATTCAGTTTTGTTAGTTCAGCTCTCAATTTTAAAACGTGAATTCCCTATGAAATTCAGTGAAAAGTAACTGAAACTTCGGTTTCTATTACTCATTTGCACATATCTGGTAAAATAAAATTGTAAAAAATGAGTTAGTTTAGGAAGTGTGTTTTGATTTCGGTTTTGCATAAGCATGACATGTTGCAGCAGTTACGGAAGTAGTTCCTGCAATTTGTTCCTGCGTATTTCTTTTTTCTTTCCGGAAAAATTATTACTATTAGCCAAAGCTTGTTGTATTCGTAGAACAATTTATTAGTGTTGATCTTAAACGCGACCTTTTCATCAACAGAATAATAATTGTCATAAATCATTTGCATTGTACAAAGAGATATTTCCATTCTCTTAGGGGATCTTCATGTCAAACACTGAGAATAACATTTAAAATATCCACATAGCGATAAATCCGTGACGCTGCTGGTAGACCTTAGCTCGTCAATACCTCTTGTGCCAAAGTGCACGCCTACATTCATTGCAATAAATGCATTTTAACTTTAAATGGATTACGAAGATATATTTGTTAAGATTAATATTAAAGGCTTAACACACTTAAATACTTCAATTCATTTACTGAGAAGTTAAATGATCGTAGTTAATGTTTAGCTTCTAACAGTGTTAGAAATCGTTGACTTTTTGAAGATGAAACTTCGATATTTTTGCATTGTTATTGATTTTATACATTTTATCTCTAATTATTTTATTTTGATATTTAACGTATATACTGTTATATATTGTACATGCATAAAATATATTTATATTCGTCTTTTTAGAAATATAGACACTTTTGATGATTATACTAAACATACGCGAAAAACTATACATAAACGAAACATTTTTGGCCTTATCTAAAAGCTATCAGATTTCCTTAAAATGCTAAAAAAATATAAAAATACAGATCATCAACCTCACATTTCGGGAACTTGTGTTGTTCATGACAAAAAGTATCGGAACAGCAAAAAAATACACTTTTCCCCCGAAGTTTGTGTGTGAGAAAGGGCGATGACTTTCCTAGGGGTCTTGGACTCGGGACAAATGGCTTTCTCTCTCGAAATCATACATTGTTTTTTTCCACGACCCTCATGACTGCATATATTTCATTATCTGAAACCCATTTCTAACGGGATAAAGATACAGGTTTTCCGGGGTCCCAAACAAGGAAAACACTTCCATAAAATATGAATGAACGGCTATATTATTGTTACCACGAAAAACTAACGTGTCAATTATACTTTTTCGCTATTGGAAAATAACGTGTGATTCACTGTATCTATCAAGCATCACAGATATACAATATTCTTGGAACATAATTTTACTGTAGGTATGCGCAACAGGGAATTGGTTAGGAATCACTTTCATTTCAACAACGAATGACTACGACTAGTTTTGCATAATAAATATGTGATTAGTAATACTCATCTAGAGTTTTTTACACTTCTGTTCGTTTAATATTTGTTATCTTAAATTTTAAACAAACATTAAATGCTTCATGTTTTTTATATTGACAGGGTATGAAAACTCCGTACAGAGAAATGTAAGGTAACTCTCATAACTCTGCTGACCTAGAAACCTATTTTTATTCGCGTTAGTGGAAAACACTTTAGGTACACACCGAAAGCGTCCTCAATACCACAAGATCTAGTTGCCGCCGATGTTTCCTTCTCTGAACTACATAAACGAGAAAGTAATGAAACTATATTGTACGAACCCATGTGTGTGTGTGTGTGTGTGTGTGTGTGTGTAAATAGGTAGTGTAAGGAATGAGAAGTACAACAGTTTTATTAAATTTTATTCAAGTTACCGGACATCTAGGAAATGCTCATGCACATCACCTGCACATTTTTACCAGAAAACCTACGTAATACTTCTTTCTCTACTTGAGTGCGTCGTGCCGACACAACACGAAGATAAAACAGGAATTTCAGAGAACACAGATGCTCAAGGTAGATATGTCACGAAGAAAAGACACTCCTACGTGAATGCAAGCTGGAACTGAAGTTTTCCACGGCTACCCATTCCCAGGAAAAGAAAAATAAACTCCACCTTGTACAGTGGTCACTTAGGAATCGAATGTCCTGTGGTACCCGAGATATAAAGGATCATGGTTCTGAGGAAAGAGTTAATGGAAATTGTTCACAGATTCAAAGTACCTTTACTGATCACTTTGAGAAGACTGTGTCCTGCTTCGTAAGAGGAACAGATAATGGGAACGCAAACAAGATTTCAGAAGTAAACACTACGAGAAAACAAATGTTTGATCATAAGATCAAAATGAACTACACACTCGCGTATTTTTTAGGTACCTTGTTAACACATATTGCTTAATTATTGAAGTTACAAATTTGGAATACGTATTTCCTAACATGTTTCACAGCATTCTTTACTCTTGCGTGACCACTATTCACAAATATTTTCTTGGATCTTTCCGGACGCGATGTAAATAATGACACCGTTTCTCATTGCTTATGGATATTTGCGCAGTACAAGCTTTGAGATACGAACAGTCTCGTGTGAGGCAACATTACATCGACACCGATCACCTCCTGACTTTTTCACTGAAGAAAAGCTATTCAATTACTCAGTAATAACATGGAACAACAGTTTTCGTTGGTTTCATTCACACATTCGTATGTTGGATGTTGTTGCGATGCATCGCACCATGGCATGAGTAAATAAATATTGCGTAAACGCACGTTCCAAAACGTGTTGATGTCGGAAACAATCAACGGACCCGCATCATTAGCGAAGGAACGCTGCAGAGCCGTTGCCATTAAGAGAGCCGACTCAGCGGGCAGCACGTAGCGGACGGGCAAACGAGTGGGCTGGCGGAAGGTCAGATGGGAGCGCTATAGGACTCCTGAGAGTGGCCCCCTGGACTGGGGCGTAAGGCAGGAGGACGGGTGGCGAGAGAGGGGAAAGGAAGGGCAAGATTAAGACCGGAAAAG